AAAAAAAAAAAACGGAAAAAAAAAAAAAGATCTAATTTATTTGCATTGGTGGGTGTATTTTAATTTTTTTAGTTATATCACATATAAAAGCTCCTGATGCTTTAATTTCTTTTTGCTTTCCACAGTGTAAGAAAATGACAAATTGAACCATCTTCCCTTTATAGTGCTCCAGTAACAAATTTATTTATAAATAAATAAATAAATAATAAAGTCGCAAAGGTAGAAAGGTCTACCTAGAAGAAACAATTTTAGAAGCAGAACTTTGGGGCGCCTGGTGGCTCAGTCGGTTAAGCGTCCAACTCTTGATTTCAGCTCAGGTCATGATCTCAGGGTCATGGGATTGAGCCTCACATTAGACTCCACGTTTAGTGGAGAGTGCTGAAGATCCTCTCTCTCCCTTTGCCCCTCCCCCTACTTATGTGCTCTCTCTCTCTCTTTGAAATAAATAAGTAAATCTTTAAAAAAGAAAAAAGAAACAGAAACTTCTTCTAATGCTGGCCCTGCCCCTAGCTGTTATGTTTTCATGGTGAACGTATTTGATCTTTATGGTGCACTTTCTCCTTGAAGCCCTTCTTACCTTTCATCCCTGAGAGGTCATTGGGAGGTTGTTCTTGCCTATATCAAGCCACATCCTGTCTCCCTGCTCTCATGCTCCACGACTGACCATAGAGCTCTTTTGTCCCTCCTTGAGGTGAAAGGTCTGTGCATTCCTCATGTCTTTCCAAGCCCAAGGAGTTTCCCAATCCCCGCTCTTTTCCCCTTGTGTAGACAAGCTCCGTCGTCTGTCTGTAGGCCCAGATAAAGTTTCCACCATAGTTTTACTGTCTTGAGCCCAGTTGCACAGCCTTCTTTAGACAGACATCTGCCTCATTGTCTTATTTTATATGAAGCTCCAACTCTAGTTGTTAATTCAGTCGGGGGCTATCTTTAAATCAGAGGTCACAGTGATTGTGTGTGTGTGTGTGTGTGCATGCACATGAGTGTGTGTGTGTGTTTGTAAAATGGATATGTTGCCAGCATTTAGATATCAGAGGGTTTTAAATAAAAATACAGATTTGCATTGCCCCTTGAGAAATCAGAAGCCTTCGATCACTTGCTCTGCATGTCTACATAGCAACAGCTGGCTGGGAAGTGTACTCAGGGTATGTTTCCTCCAGTTTCTCCCACAGCTATTTCTTCTTTCTTACCCCAGGCTAGCACTAGTTATGTCAAGATTCAGTTTGAAACTCCTCTTTTAATAGAGGGGCTGTCCTTACTTAGCAGCTGTATGTTGTTGTCTGCTTCCAGATTCTCTATAGGCTATGATTATGGAGATGGGGTATAGAGGGACATTAAGAACATATCTTTGGCTTATGGCTCTCCTTTGCTTTCATACCATCAAGTGCTCAATACCTGGCATATGAAAGGAGTTTCGTAACTGTAAGCTAAACAGGGATTAAAATAATTGTGCAAAATGTTAACGATATTCAGGAAAGCAAATGGATTTTTATATTGTCAAATTTAATTGAAAGCCTTTCTGTTCGAATGTAGTTTTCAGACAACTAAGCAGTAATACTGAGGACTTTATGTGTTGTTTTGATAGTAATAAAGAAAAGCATGACTCCTTATAATTGGATGCCCTACTAAGTAACACAGAAGCCAGATCTGACATTTAAAGATGATGAGGTAGGAAGTTAAAGGTTGAATGCAGATGAGAATAGGTAAAATAGTAAGTTTTGGGTTTTCTTAAATGTATATATATTAACCTACTTGACACCATGTTGCTGATTAGTGAGTGAACAAAAATGAGTTTAGAGTAATTCTTCTCCAGTGATAGGCATGTGATTCATACTTTGGAACACACACTACACAATCAAGCCCTTGCTGAGATGCTATGCCGCCTATTAGATAAATAGCTGGGTCCATAATGGAAACAAATGAATGTTTTGGCGAGATTTGCAGTGCAGAAGAGAGAGGAAAATAAAGTCCCATTACTTCTGACTCAAGCAGCATGCTGTTACCTCCCCAAATGTTCTAGAGACAGACGTAAAACTTCACGTTTTATGGTCATGTTGGGCCCCTGTGTCCTGGAGAATGACACCACAGCATGGAAGAGAGAGCAGCTTTTGTCTCTGAACCTTTGCTCGAAGACTAATGTGCTCTGCCTTACCTTGGCCCGTCCGTAATATTTTTTCCTGCCTTAATTTCGTCTGCTTATTGCAACTTCTTTCTGTGTCTATACTTAATTTGCTTCACTATATCACTTATAGAAAAATTTATGCTTACTTAAATAATAAACTTCTCTGTGTCCTGTAAAATGGAACAAAAATTAAAACACCTAAAAAAAGAATTTATAAATGCTTGTGTAAGCTGAAATGGAAGCTATTTTAGCTGGTGTTAATAATGTTCCTTTTCTATAACTATCTGTGGAATGAATGTAATTGTAAAACTCATTCTCAGAAATTTATGATTCAATACAAATCATACAGAGGCCGAGTGAAAATTTAGCTTTGCTTCAATCATAAAAAGGCAAATATTATAGGCACTTGAAAATAATGAAGCTACATTTCTTTTTTTCTTAAAAAAAAAAAAAGCCTCTATAGTTTAGAGTTGATACTATTTCAGAATGGCTTCCTAAAAACCCCAGGAACTAACTTAGGAAATATTTTGAGAATGACTAGAAATTTGTAGAAGGGATAAAAAAATATATAGCTTCCCATAAAGCAAAATTTTTAGTGTTTTCATGCTTGGACATCCTCATTGGCCATAGCTTCTCTGACTTGAATACTTCATATCCTTGTCTTTTATAGAATAGATGACTCTGACAATATGACAGACCCTTTCTTATGCTAATTTTGTGTGATATTGGCTATAATTCTAGATGGTTTATTTATACACAGACAGACACCCCCACACACAATAGCTTTGTTGCTATTGGTCAAAGTAATTCAAGTTAAATGTGACTTTTAACAATCCTCCTGATTCATCATAGTGGTCTCTAATTAAATACTCTCCTGGAATTCTGCAGACTGGTCTGACTTGCTCACAGAGAGCTGACACAGCCCAATTCCTTACCTGCAGTAAGTGAGAGGATGAACGATCTTTTCAGAGAACAGCCCCATGCCTTTGATGTCTGGAAATAAAAAGATTACAGTCCAAGAACGCAAGGTAAAAAGGATATATGGCAATCTCAGGTGGAAAGAGGCAGACTATTTCTGAAAGAAATCTATGAGAAAGCCTGGACTTGTTCATCTTTTCCTCATTAATCTTTTACAATATGAAGCATTTAATTCAGTTGCCAAAAGTAGTGTTTTCCAAACCTGATATGCAATTGTTTCATAAATGGCTTGGGTGCCTTCTTGGAAAATGTAGGGAACTAAGAGCTTCTTGTACATTTTCATTTTAATATTTAATAAAATATATAATAAAAGACCCCAGTTTTAGAAAATCATGCTTGTATCCACGAACTCTATAAAATTTTAAAAGAAAAGCATTTGAGGCCAGTGGTACTGCCATAAAATCATCCTTTTCCAAACCTTCCACTTCTCATCTTGTCCATCTCTGGACATTTCGGTACTCTTTTCCAGTGCTGCCCACGTGGCCCTCCGCACGGACAGACAACTCCTTTCTCGTGGCCTGCAGTGGGAAAGCCCCCCTGCAGGTGTACAACACAGTGGACCTGATGAAGAGCTCAATGCCATTCTTCCTGCTACTGAGACCAAGGCCGTGGTGATGTCATTGGCTCTCCTCCTTCTCCCACCCTCCTCAGATCCATGGCATGGCTTCATAGCAGTGCCTTCACAATTCATCTGGAACCCATCTTTCCATCACTTCCACCTCCTACATGTATCACTCTAGTGTAGTCAAGCCACCCATCTCTTTTCCAGACAACTGTGATACCTTCCTAATTAGCTTCTCCGTCTCCCCTTGCCCCCTACAGTCTTGATCACACAGCAGCCAGGGCGATCTTTTTCAGATGTAAGAGAACATACTTCCTCTGTTCAAAACTCTCTAAATCTTCACTGTACAACATGAAATCAAATTCAGTCATTGCCATGGCTTGTGGGGAATGAATGCTCCCTATGATCTGCCCCCACCACCTCTCATCTCCTTTGACAATCTTATTTACTCCTCCTTATCCAGTGATAATCTTTTAATTCTGAAAGACACTAAAAACAATTAAGTCAAAGCCTTTCCCTGTACTGGTCCTTCTACTCAGAGTTTTTCTCAAATATCCACATGGCAAGCTCATGACTACAGAAAAGTCATTTCATCACAGAAACTTTCTGTGACTCCTTCTCTTAAGGAGGCCCCCAACCCCTTCTCTCTCTTTACCACACTTTAGTTTCCTCCTTAACACTTACCACTTCCCACCATGCTTTATTTTTTGCATTCACTTGTTTTTGTGTCAATCTCTGCCCTCTAGAATATAAGCTCAGTGAGAGCAGGGTCTTTGTTCCATTCTCTTCTATAATCCCTACAATAATACACAGAAAATATTTAGTTAATATCTAGCAAATGAGTGAATGAATTCTATCTTATCAAAGAGCATCTAGAGTGTATATGCCTTTTAGGGAAAATAATTTTTATATAGTAAATAATATTCTCAGAAATTTATTTTTTACTTTATATTTCCACATTATACTAAGATGCATAATAGAGATATTTGTGGTAGTAGTGGCTTGTCAGACATTCCTCAGAAGTCACTGTCCTATGAATAAGTATAACTAGAAAACTGGCAGCAAGTTAAAATGTTTCTTTTAGAAGCAGATGATGATTTCTACCTACCTCAGTTCTCTTTACAAATAGATAGAGTATTTCACCCTTGTTAACAATGTACTTGTTGAAGCTTGGAAAAGTCAAAATCTTTTTATAGAGTGAAACCATCCAACTGAGGCTTGAAAGGGTCATTACAGGTCATCTACAGCTATCTTCCTAAAGGGCTGGCCAATTTATGATGGGATTGTTTTCAGTGACAGAAAACTGTCTACATTGTTAGGCTATTCATTTTGATTTTGGATGGATTTTCCTTAGGTTAAATGAGTCTGAATCTAGGTAACTTAGACACATTGGTCTTCATTTTCTGGAATCCAGAGGACAAAGCATAAACTAGGAAATAAAAGAGAGATAGAAGAGTGAAAGCAGGATGCAGAAAATGAAACTTTTCTACTGGAACATTCTCATCTTTCAAGTTTAATTGTACCTAGAAGTAAAGAAGATATTTATCTGATTCCCTGAAACCTAGGAGGAAGAATCCTTCTTCATTTTATGTAGAAATACCCAGAGAGTTTGTATTTGCTATTGGATCTCTAATAGAAAATGTATTGGTTAGTATTGCTGTGTAACAAATCACCCCAAAATGTGTAGTTCCTTAAAACAACTCCATTTTGTATTTCTCACAAGATACCTATGGATCAACTTGGCAGTTCTATTGATCTGGTTTGGACTCTGCTGATCTCAACAGGGCTCGTTCATGTGCCAGCTGTTAGCTGGTCGATTGGCTAAGGGCCAGCTGGTCAAAGATGACCTCTGCTGGAAAGGAAACGTTCCTCCATGTGCCTCTCTTATATCTTCAGCAGACCAACAGCATGCATCATCATAGAACTGGCAGGAGTCCCAGAAAGGAGGTGGAATGTGCAAGTACATTTTCAATCCTCTCTTTTGCTTCATGTTTGCTGTGATCATCCTTTGCCATATTACTGAGCCAGAGTCCAAGTGGGAGGGGACCAAAAGTGACAAGGCAAAGGGTATGGATACAAGGAGGCCGTTAGTACAATCAGTCCATCACAGGCAAAAAGCACAGGAGGAGAGGGTTTGACTTACAGACAAAATACAAAGGAAGGGAGTAAAAGGAAGGAAAGAGATGGAGAAAATGAAATCAAAATGAAAGATAGCTAGGTGAGGAAAGAGATAAGGAAGAAAGATTGAAGAGGTGGAATAGAAAATGTGTGAAGAAGGGAAAGTGATGGTACTAGATCTGCAGGAATCCAAACATGTGACCCAATAAACAAGCTCTTGTATAAAAATATAATATTCATGGTAGTATAATAGTAATTTCCAACTGATAGCAATACAGACTCAATTTCTGCTTTGAGTATGGGAAAAGAAGAAATTCAATCACCACAGAATTATCTGGTAAAATGTATCTCACCTTGCAGAGGAAAATTGCAGTCACAGATGTTGGAGAATGAAAGCAAGTGACGAATACAAGTTAGCAAAGCTTTCATACTTACTCTTGATCAGGCATGTATGAACAATGTTATTTAGCAATTGTGACTTTGTCTTATTAGGATATATAAAATATAACTGGAATTGGAAATATTGTCTATGTTTTTTCTAATTTTTTTGTCTTTTCTTCTTTAATTATAAGTCTGTCTTTTTTTAAGATTTTTATTTATTTATTTGAGAGAGAGAGCACAAGCAGGGGGGGAGGGGCAGAGGGAGAAAGGAAAACAGAGTCCCTGCTGAGCAGAGAGCCTGAGGGGGGGCCGGATCCCAGGGTCATGACCCCAGGTCATGACCCCAGCCAGAGGCAGTCGCTTAACCAACTAAGCCACTCAGGCGCCCCTATATGTTTGTCTTAAATATAAATTACACTTATATTAACATTTCTTTCTCAACATTGTATATAAGACTGGGTAATCATATAATGTCCACTAAGAAAAGGAATTACATATATTGATATTGAGTATGGCTTAGTAATCACTAAATAAAGTATGTCAGAGTTTCATTTAGTAAATGAACCTTTAGGGACAGAAATGTTGACTTTGTTTTATTTTTTTCTGTTGTCCAAATATCAGAATACTTCTTTAAAAGAAAAAATATTTTCATTTATTTATTTTACAGAGAGAGAAAGCAGAGGGGAAGAGGGAGAGAGACAAGCGGACTACATGCTGAGTGTGAGCTGGTCTCAGGGCTCAATTTCACAATCCTGAGATCATGACCTGAGCGGAAATCAAGAGTTGGACCCTTAACTGGCTGAGCCACCCAGGTGCCCCATCGGAACACTTCTTAATGCTGGTTAAGAACTGGCCATACTGATATAAAATTGGCAATACCATAATATTGTTTAAGAACAGACTAATTTAGGGATGCCTGGGTGGCTCAGTTGGTTAAGTGTCTGCCTTTGGCTCAGGTCATGATCCTAGGGTCTTGGGACTGAGTCCCACATGGGGCTCCTTGCTCAGCAGGGAACCTGCTTCTCCCTCTGCCCCACTCCCCCTCTTGTGTGCGCGCTCTCTCTCTCTTTCTCTCTCTGACAAATAAATAAATAAAACCTTAAAAAAAAAGAACAGACTAATTTAGTACATAAAGAGAAAATGTCATCTTGCTTTTACTTGTTTTGAGATAATTCCATAAATTTCAGATACATTAAAATTTCCTCTTTATTGGTTAATTTCAACAAAATAGCCTGTTCACAATTTCATGATGTCATGGACAAAAGTAAGTAGTTCAGCCCTTATTATAACTTCTACCCAAGTTATTCTCCTTGCTTCTCATTTCTGTGCTATTTATTATGGTTTATACAACAAGGTCTGATCTAATACGGTCTTAAATGAATTATCCACAGATGGCCCACGGTCTGCTCATTCCACCTTAAGATTTGTTGGTACATTTATCCTTCCCTTGTTGTTTCTTGGCCCTTTATTTATTGCAGATGGTTTCATGCCCATTTTTATGTCTATAAAACTGGTAGTAAAGATAGTAATCATATCTCCAATGATTCTTTTCTAAATCTAGAAAAATTGGCTCTAAGAGTTTGTCTCATTTGTAACTATTTCATATATTCTCAATGTGTTTTAATTTTTTTAAACTGTAAATGTTAAAAATGTTTGTCATATTCAGATTTGGGTTCCACTGAGGTTTAAATTTAGGAAATGTTACCTTGAGATGACCCATAATAATTCATAAGTTTTCCATATAGGTTTCAATCAGAATAGTGAAGTTCAGCATCCATTAACACTTGCCAAGTTTCACTATCTATTAATCAGCAATGATATTGTTAAATATATATTTAGCAGTGCACTTACTTGTCCTTCTCTGGGTTTTATATGTATAAGGCCACTTGTAAACAAGGATTTTTTTTTAAAAAGCCATGAAAAGTAATATAAAGTATTTTAGGAAAACAAACGATACAAAAGAGTCTATATTCCTGAAATGACAGCCAGCACTAAATGTATTCATGGTGCACCTATCCATGTGATGGGTTTTCAGCATTCAGCATCAGTTAGATTCTCTGAGAATCTATTTACTTTCATCCTCAAGCAGCTGTCTATAGGACCAGGAACTCTCCTGTCAGTTTAACCCATCAAAAGCACTAAACAGATGTTATGTGTTGGTACTGTATGCCTTTCTTCTGTAATATTTCCCGCTGGCTCTCTCCCTGGTCCTTCATCTTCATCACTTGATTTTATCCAGTAAATAGGATGATCATTCTCCCCGCCCCCACCCCTAAATGAAATTCAAATCTAACACATAGCAATCTGCTTTTTCTTTTCCAGATTCCTGTCTTAGTCACACAGATAAGTTCAACCAATCACCCAGTGAAAGTGGGGCTGTCTGATGCCTTTGTCGTTGTCCACAGGATCCAGCAAATTCCCAGTATGTAGAAGGGTAATTGCAAAATCTGAGCCTGCTGTGGGGTAAATTTAAAGGAGATTGATTTCAGTCAGATGTGATAGTTTGAGCAACAGAATCACTTAACCAATTGCTGCTTGTAAATTATATTATTTGGTTATATTATTTGGTTTATAACTCTTATTGGCATTTGCTATCTCTCTGTTACTCTTCAACTAATAATTTAGGTAAAGTGAAATTAAACAGCCAAGCCAATGGTATGTAATTTTGGTGTCTTTGGGATAGTTAGCTTGGTTGCACTGGTGTATTTCTTTCATTAATAAGAAGAACATAAAGGAATGACAGATTATTTGACTGATAGGTGTATGAGTTTTATTTGTTTGTTTGTTTGGCTTAAATTTATCAGCAAAAGAGCAGCTTTGTGCCATTTTTATGTCTATCATGTTTGTGTAAGAGTCTGAAGAAAGATGAAAGAAAAAGTATAAATTGAAGTAAATAAAAACTTTGGTGGAACTATACTAACAGAGAAGACACATATTTTGTTTGTTTAAATCATTTTCACTTATCTCGTCTAGTTTGCATTTGTAGAATAAAAGCATATGTGTTCCTGGGCAGCTGTTTGTCATATTAAAAGTTCAGAATATTAGAAATTCATCATATTAGAAATTCAGAAAACCACTGTTGGTAGTGGTTCTGATCATGTATATAGCCATCATTTGAAAATTTCTGTTTTTTAAACCTCTCTTTCAAGAAGAATCCTGAGGGATGCTTGAGTGTGTTAGTACTGAAGATGATTGTGTCCTAGACATGCTTATTTAAAGTGACAGAGATGATAATAAAATACATCTTAAGCTTAGATTATTTCTTTCCCTTTTTTGTTCAAAGTCCTTCTTATATTTCACTATAGGGGTAGACCTAATTTATCACATGCATATGCTATTTGGTCTTCCCTCGAACTAATTCTGTTTAAGTATGCCACCTCTCAAATACAGAAGGTAAATGGAGTGGAAATTATTTAGACTTCAAATTCTTAGACTTTTTGGATTGGCTGGAAACGTAGTAGGGGTTATCTTACAACTATGATTTAGAATGATGTTCATCTGTGGCAATAATGCTTAGTGAAGAATGTGAATCTTCCATGGCAGTTTCTCCTTATTAGCTGAGAATTACTGGGAAGTAACATTCGAGGGAACTGTTAAATCAAGGCAGATTTTCCAGAAACAAAATTATACTGTGAACAAAGCAAGGATATATTAGCATGTGTAGGCACATAGACATCCTCTTAAATAAGAGGCCATGTCCTGGGAGAGCCAGTTGATTCCCCTTTGAGGACAAGGGTTTTTCACATTCCTTCTTTCAGGGATGTTAAATCAAGCATGACTTGAGTCAATTATTACACAAGTAGAACACTAGTTTTAGTTTATTTGTGGGTGCTTTTCTTTAGAGAAAGAATATTATTTGCAGCTTCCTCAAAAGACATCTTGGTCTACATTGATGTTCTGGTATATTATTGTTTAGACAAAAAGACCCACCCAAGTACAAAAGAAAAAAAATTTTCCAAATATATGATATGCAAGTATTGTCTCAGAACCGAAGCACGGTAGACTTGTGCTTAGACCGTAGAACCCAAATTGCAATTTTGCATCCCTTGTTATAAGGTAATAAAATAACTGTTTTGTTTTGAGGAAAAACATCTTTCCCAAATATAAATTTTATTGAGTAAATTGGCAAAATTCGCATGCATTTTGGGAACAGATTATGTCTGATGTTGAGACTCAGCATTCATCTAAAAAAATTGCACAAGTTTAGGGAAAAGCTTCCCTCAGGCAAGCCGCCTGATGGAATGCCATTCACATTTCCTGTTGACCTCACTCTTGCCCATCCTGAGAAAATTAGCCAAGAAAGAATGGAAGTTCTGAGTTTCGAATCCACTCATCCCTGCCTTTAGATGGGACCGTATTTCAGCAAGAAAACTGGAGTTGATGTGTTCTATTTAAAAATCTTCTTGGGAACAAAAATTTAAATCTCTTTCAAAATCTGTTCCCACATTTATAAGGTGTAACAGTGTCTGTTACATGAGCTTCTCTATAGAAGGAGAGATATGGTTGCATTGTATTCTCAGCCTAAAAAAAAAAAAAAAAAAAGTGTACTTATTTATGGCAGAGATTAGGCTAACCCAAGTTTAGCATAATATGTTATACAACTATTACTTTTTCCTGAGACTATAAGATGATTCCTAGAGACCTGTATGTTACCTATTTGTGCAATCAGAATTTAGATAAATATTTAAATTCTTTTCAAAATTCTGCTCTCTTATTTAACAACCCTCATTTTTAGGAGTCATCCTCACAGGGAATTTAAATCATTCATTTTTGTTCCCCCTTTTCCTCATCCTGAGTGAATTTAGGGAAAACCTGATCATTATCCTAAGTAATGAGAGGTTTCGTTTCTTCTCTGTTGCAAAGTACATTACATAGGACCCTGTTCTCATAAGATCAATTTTCTGTTCTTTTCATCATTTTAGTTACACAGGTTATAGAGCCTAGATCCTTGGCTTAATCTACCCATGGCAACATGGTAATGCAAGCTATAACCTTGAGAATAATTTTTCCCAGTGAGACCACAGTTGCTATACCATTCTTATCAGTTGGTGAAGGTTTGGTAAAGCATTTGAAAAGCAGGTAGGTAGGTTTAATTTATTTATTATGAAGATTTCTCCCCACCCTTTCATTATAATATCAACAACAAAAAAAACTTGTTTTTCAGTTTTTTAAAGGCTTCCAAATAGTAAATGATGTCAATGCAACTTTCAAGCGTGGTTTATTACCATAGTCTTTACCTTTCAAAAAAGATCAGGTGATCTGATAGTTTAAAATATCAAAGGGAATTCAGGCATTGTTAGTAAATTTGTAAACAGTTGCAAGGTTATAAAGGAAATTCCTTTGCTCCTACCAAAAAGAAAAAGAAAAAGAAAGAAAAAAAACCCATGGTGAAATTAACCCTTATATCTAAAAAATAAAATAAAAGATAAAAATTAATTAGCAGTCCAGAAAGAATAAGGGATACCATAGTGGGAATACTAATCATGTGTTAGACCTTGAGCATTTTATTTAATTCCTATAACTTAACATACAAAATGGTCATCTTAATACCTACGATGCAAGGGGTACATGGCATGCAGTGCCAAGCACTGCATGCCATGTACCCTTTCACTTTAAATAAGCATGTCTAGGACACAAGTAAGCACTGTGTTTGCGTCCATATTTATTGTTGCTTCATCAGCATCAACATTGTCACGGGATGCCTGGCTGGCTCAGTTGGTTAAGCATCTGCCCTCGGCTCAGGTCATGATCCCAGGATCCTGGGATCAAGCCCCGCATCAGGCTCCCTGATCAGCTGAGAGCCTGCTTGTGCACTCTGTCCCTATCTCTATCAAATAAATAAATAAAATCTTTTAAAAACCCCCAAAACAAAAAACATTGTCACTTTACAAAGACAGTGATGCTAAGATGTCCACATCCAGAACAAGTGCTCATGAGAATGGGTCCACAGGGGATTTCCACTAGAAAACACCTCGACACCCTCTCTCTGAAACTCATTCTTTCTAAGTGTCGTTTGTTTTGTGACTTCTCGGTGTGTCTGTCTGTCCATAGGTCTCTGCATCACCTTCTATTTTTCATAAAATACTTTGTAGAATTTTAGAAACAAAAAGAACATGGAGATCAGCTGTTTCAGTCTCCACAGGTACAGATGTGAAAGACAGGTCTATATACAACGACTTCGATTATTCATTACAGAAATCCAAATGTAAAAACATACTTGTGATGATAAGCATGGTGTATATTAACTCAGAGAAATTTGTAAAATAACAGTGAATACAAAGAAGAAAATTTAATTGGTCTGTAAATCTACCACAGAGATATACCAATTAATGTTTCCCTGCATCTGCATCCAAACTTGTGTTTATGGTAGATACACATGTAAACACATGCACATTAAGAAAATTGGCATTGGGCTATAAATATTTTGTCACCTATTTTTCCTTTAATATATATAACACATTTTTTTCTACACTGCTAAATACCTGTCTAAAATGTAGCCATTAATAGCTGCAACAAATTCCTTTATTTCATAATTTATGTGACCTGTCTGAACACTGGTTTGTCATGTTGGTTGCTTTTCATATTAATTATCAGCAAAACAGTGCTGAGCATCTTTGTTTGTAAATGTTGACACAACTCTTTAAAAATGAATGTGTGGCCATTGACTGTTAATGATTTTTTTAATGTACTTTGACAAATTGCTGTCTGTAAATGTTGTACCAATTTACTTCCCCACCAGCTTTTTATTAGATATCCCATTTCCCCAGATGCTCCCAGACACTATTATCATTTTTTAAACCCTGCAAATTTGATCAGCAGAACATGATATTTCATTGTTGCCTTAATATTCTTTTGATTATCAGAAAGTTTTCACATTGTCATGTATTCATAGGTCATGTGTCATTTCCATAATTTCTTGTTAAATAGCTTTATTAAGTAATTCTCAGCCTCTGCTTATATCCCTCCAAATTCTTTTACTCAGTGTGCAGAGATCTTCCCGGATAAACATACGGTTCTCCCTAGTACCATTCATACTTGTTGGTTTCTTTCTGCTCCAACTTAACACTCTGAATTTCCATCTGAATCTCTAGGGTGCTGACCTTCTCCATCGGGCCTCACCTTTTCTCTGCCTTCAGAGCTTAAAGAGCATAACATTCCCAGCAAGAAAACCCAGGAAATCCACTCTTGCCTTCACAGTTCTTTTATTTGGGAACGTAAAGCAAAGTCATTTTAGTAACGTGAAAGTTAGTTTTACACACACGCAGAATTCTTGTCCAAGAAACCAAGCTGGAAAGCTGCTGACCTAACTTGAAATGGTTCTTCTATAAGTTAACGATAACGGCTATTTCCGAGTCCTTGAGAACACTCCGCTTTATTCTTCTCACCAGCCTCTTTCTTCACGCCAATCCCTTTCTCATCAGC